TCCTGCTAGCGCCCATCTACCTTGGCGATCTCGTACACCTCTCTGCCTCCGTCAATCGCGCTTGGGGCAGCAGTCTCGAAGTGGGTGTCCGAGTCGTCAAAGAGGATCCGCGCTCGGGCGCTCGTGAATACGTCAGCCACGCGTACATGACCTTCGTCGCCATCTCTGGTCCCCCTTCCGCTGCTTCTGCATCTTCGTCGCAACCGCCCCCGAGAGTACGACTCGCATCGCGTCAAAGTATGGCCCCGGCGTCTGCATGGCAAAAGTTAACCTCCCTGCTCGTCGGACCGCCGCCCTCAACGATGCCGCCCAAGCCCCAACTCCAACCCTTGCTGCCAAGAACGCCACTCGAGGCGAGGCGACACATCTTGGCCGGCCGCAGACGAGCAAAGCGGATTGCAAATGCCAAAAAGGGCGAAGACAGGGATGGCGTCTCGACCGAAGTCAAGAAGCGGCTCAAAGACGAGGTGCGAGAAATCTCCCGAACTGGTGGTACTTGGAGGGCGCGCGCCGAAACCGAGTCGGGCACATGGACTCCCGGCAAACTCAGAATCGAACGCGCAGACCTGCTCTCTGGATCGGCCGGTAGCGACACGACCGATCTTTCTGGCTCCACCAAGACGTCGCAGGAGTGTCAGCTCGAGGCCCTCGAGCTCGAATTTGTCGTTCAGGCCTATGTGTCGCGCGACCCGGCCGTGTCGGTGAATCACCAACAAGGCATGGTCGAAGTCAACCTTTCCGGTGACATTCCGCTCCGCCACCCGCTCAGCGTCGTCGAGAGGCTCGCTCAACAGGTCACCGACGCCGACGCCTCGTCCGGCTCGACGACAGCGCAAACATCTGCAAGCCTGTTTGCATCAAAGATCCCAGATTCTGGATTCATACCTCTGCCCTCGCCGAGCGCGCCAAATACCGCACGCCCCAGCCTTCCCGTTCCAGCCTCCACAGGCGCACATTCACCGCCCAAGACGCCATCCACACGGCGCAGGTCCATCTTTTCGCCGCTCAAGGCCGCCCAGGAGAGGGAAGGCGATACCGACCTGGACCAGTCGAGCACCAACACGCCCATCAAGACACACACCAACCACGAGCTCACGCGCGCACGCCTATCTGCCAAGCTTTCTAAGCCCATCAAGGTAGCCAAAACTGTGGTGCGGACGCTGCATCTCGTGTTCCCCGAGCACACCAACTCGGTGGGCGTGCTGTTTGGCGGCCAGTTGATGGACTGGATGGAGGAGGCGGCGCTGCTCTCCGTGCGTCACGTCGGACGCGGACGTCGGTGGGGCACGGTGTCGCTCGACGGGCTCGAGTTTGAAGAGGCGGTGGCGGTGGGCGAGAGCATGACGTTTACTGCCGTCGTGGTGCGCACGTTTGTGCAGTCATGCGAGGTCTACGTGCTCGCCGAGGCCGAGTCGCGCAACGGCACACGCAGAATCACCAACGACGCGCTCTTCACGCTCGCATTCCCTCTGGACGAGTCGGACATCTCGTCGGCCATGCTCGCTTCCGTCCGAGACGGCAGTCGTGCCAGACTTCTGCGCCAGGTCGACATGCCGCCGGGTTCGGCCCTGGCTACGTTTGCGGACGTAGCGGTCAAGCGGCGCGCAAGCCGGCTCGAGATGAAAGACATGCTGGTGCGCATCTACTCGGACCCTAGCTGATCGGCGGTGCTAGAAGCTCCGAACTGCCATTTGCATCACAACGACAGAGACCATGTACCACATCACCGTACCAAGGCATGCATGCTGTTCGGAACCAGTTGCCCGAAATAAGCAGGCACCATGACTCGAGATCCGCCTCGGCTAGTGTCACTGCCATCACCACGATGCCAGCCGGATTCCGAGTTTTGTTTTTGTGACTCGGAGCGCCCCGCGCACGCTGCCAAGCCGGAGTGACTCTTGCTCGGGTTGCCGCCTTTTTTCGGATTGCGGAGTTCGGGAAATGCGCCGGTGCCACATGCAAGCTGCACCGGCTGTGTGGAGGAGCGCCGGCGTGCCGTTTTTCCGCTGCAAAAACCTGTGGAACCAGCACCAGCAAGGCTCTCCCATCTCCTACAAGCATCCTAGCGGCTCGAGCTCCTCCTCGTCGCCGTCGAGCCGGGGAATCCACATAAAAAGGAACGGCACATCGGAGAGATCCCCTCCTCTTGGATCAAGCAAGAAGACATCTTACTTTCCAAGATGGTAGACATCCAGCCATATCTCGACACCATCCCCAAGTCGGTGGTCGACACCGCCAAAGCTCTCAAGACCTTCTCCAAGCTCGAGGCTGTCTTGACAGAACATGCTTCCTCGAAGCATGACAATAAAGATGCAGCGAAAGCTGCGCTCGAAAAGAAGCTCAGGCCGGTCCTGACCGACGCCGGCGTAGGCAAGAAGGGTGTGCTTGAGATCGTCGATGCGTGCCTTGCTGTCAAGATCAGCCCTCCCTCCGCAGCTGCCACTGCAGAGCCAGCAACACAGGCAAACGGAGTCGCTGATTCGGAGCAATCGTCCTCGCGAGCCACATCGAACGAGGCTGCCTCGAACGAGGCTGCCTCGACCGAGGCTGCATCGTCTTCAGCTACGCCCGCCTCCAGCTCGGCGGACCAACCCTCGAGCGCTCAAAAGGCATCAGCAAGGAAGAGTAAGAAGAGCGAACGTGTCGTCAAGTCTGCCGCCAAGAAGGCGACCAGCTCAGATGATGAGCTCTCAAACGCAGTCACTGCCAACCTGTACCTCGACAACCCGGATCCAAAAGTGCGTCTCATCCAGGCGCTTTCGCAAGAGTCTCGCTTCCACCTCGACTGCACCGACACCGGCTCGCTCGAGATCGACCTCAAGCAAGTCACGGTCACGCTCGCCGGGCGCGATCTGCTCTCCGACGCGCATCTTCGATTCAAAGCTGGCGTGCATTACGGCTTGGTCGGGCGCAACGGAACGGGCAAGTCCACCCTGCTCACCGCGATCGGCGAAAAGCTCATACCCGGTCTGCCAAGGACACTCAAGATCCTTTTCGTCAGCCAGCTCACCAATGCACGTGCTGCAGATGAGGACCCCGACGCATCCGTGCTCAAAGTCGTCATACGCAGCGATTCCGAACGCAGCCAGGCCGAGGATGAAAGCAGGCTCCTCAGCAACGTGCTCGAGAACCAGGAAGAAGAGGTCGTTCGAGACGCAGTGCTCAAGGTTCGACTCGACCGAGCCAAGGACAGACTGAGGGAGGCACGCAAGCTTGCTGTCAAGTGGTCTGGGGCCCGCGGCTATGGGGCTCGAAAGGACCTGCTTGCCGCCGAAAAGGAGTTTGAGGAGGCAGACGCCGAGGCGGCGCGTCCACCGCCCATCCAGCCCGAAGATGGATCCAAATGGGCCACCGAGGCCGGCAAGCTTCTACTTGAGTCGCAGGCGCTTCTCGACGAGGTGGATGCCGTCACCACCGAGGCACGCGCCCAGAAGATTCTTCACGGCCTCGGCTTCTCTGCTGAACGCATACACGCCCCTTACTCGACGCTCTCGGGCGGTTGGAGGAGTCGCGCCTCGCTCGCATCCGCCCTGCTCCAACCCGCACACATCCTGCTCCTCGACGAGCCGGTCAACTATCTCGACCTCCCCGCCGTGCTGTTCGTCCAGCAGTTTATCGCGTCCATCCCGCACACCGTGGTGACTGTTTCGCACGATCGCGAATTCCTCGACGCCGTAGCTGACGAGCTCATCATCCTGCGCAAGGAGAAGCTCACCTACTTTGAAGGCAACCTCACCACGTACGAGCGCGAGACCCGCCAGGAACGCCTGCACAAGCTGCGCCAGCAAGAGGTGCTCGACCGCAAAAAGGCGGCGGTGCAGAAATCGATTGCCGAGGCGGCCAAGTCCGCCAAAAAGTCGGGCGACGACAACAAGATGCGCATGGTCAAGCAGCGGCAGCGCAAGCTCGACGATCGATGGGGTCTCGAGGTCAACAGCAAGGGTCACCGGTTCAAGCTCAACAGGGACATGGTCGGATACTATCTCTCGCATCGAAGTGGACCCGACATCGAGGAGCTCGATGCGCCAATTCGGTTCTCGTTTGCTGATCCGGAACCATTGCGCTTCCCGGGCAGCTTGGCGCATCTTGATGGCGTGAGCGTGCGCTACGAGGGACAGAAGAAAGACACCATCAAGTATGTCAACCTCAACATTGGACCCGGCGAAAGGGTGGCGATCGTGGGTCCGAATGGACACGGTAAGACGACGCTGCTCAATGCGATGGTCGGCAAGCTCACTCCGTCCAAGGGCACTGTAGAGAGACACGCACGCGCGACCATCAGCATCTACGCCCAACACACTCTCGAGGAACTTTCGAGCCAGTCCGTCACTGCGCTTGCGCACTTCCTCGAGCGGTTCCCCGATGCAGGCGATGCCAATGCGCGCTCGTTCCTCGGTCAGCTCGGTCTCAAAGGTCGCACTGCCGATACCATCCCACTCACCGGCCTGAGTGGTGGACAGCTCGTGCGTCTCGGTCTGGCCGAAGTCATGTGGCTCAGCCCTGACCTCGTTGTGCTCGATGAGGTGACCACCCATCTCGACAGCGATACGATTGATGCGCTCATCGAAGCACTTCGCCTCTACACTGGCGCCGTCCTGCTCGTCAGCCACGACAGATACGCCGTCAAACGCATCATCGAGCTCGCACCCGATCCGGCAGCTGTCGAAGAAGAGCAAGACGACACGGGACCAGAAGAAGACGACCCGGACCTCGATCTCAAGTCGGCAGCAAAAGAACCAGGCAGGACCTATTTGCTCCAGAACGGCATGTTGAGACTGCTCGGTGGCGGAATGGACGAGTACGCCGATTCCGTCATCCAGCGCCTCGAAGCTGTTTGAGGTGCGACGACCTGCTTCGACTCTGCACACTGCAATTTGGGGAATGCATTTGGCTATTGCAGCAGCGACAAGTTGACTGGGGATTTGACAGAGATGAGGGATGGAGGCGCTGTCCTTTTGATGCGGTTGCGAGCGGCGCATCTGTGGGCGATGAGATGCAGCTCAGAGCGGGCTGTACGAGAGTTCAAGCTCGGGCACGGTCAAGCGCAGTGCGCTCTCGACGTCCTCTGGGAGCTCGCGCAGGCCCGTCAGGCACAGCTTGACAAGACGTGAATGCTGGTGTGGATTGTCCAGGCGAGGGCTTCTGTCTTCTTGATTGGACAGTGGTAGGGCCTTTGTCCCAGCGCCTCGCTGGAAAGCTGACGCGGTACGCGCTGACGTGTTGTGGCTCAGCGCCTTGAGAAGCTCGTTAGACGCCTGATGGGCTTTCTGAAGCGTGTCGCCGTTCAACAGACTGTCGCGCACAATCAAGGCCGCAGCCAGTCTTGTCAGATCCAACCGAGACGCATCCAGGGTGAGCTGACGCAGCTTCGAAAAGCGGAAATCGATCCCGCTTTCTCCAGACTCGCTGCTGATTGCTGTCGGAAGCAATGTGGCAACCAACGCCCTTGCATGACCTGCAAACTCGAGGTTCAGCTTTTGAAGATCTGCAAGTCTCTGCAGAGCTGCCGTAATCTCGTTCGGTGCGGTTGTATCTGTGGCCGAAATCTTGAGAGTTTGCAAACACGGGCTCGTCTCCAAAAGCGCCGTGAGACGGGGTTCATAGACGAAGCCACACATGCGGAGGTCTAGAGCTAGATCCAGCACGTTGGGAAGGTGAAATTGGAGCTTCGTACACAAGCCCAAAGCCGCTTTGACCATCTTCGGGAATGTGATAGAGATCTCTTCCCATTGCCTAAGCATAGAGGGATGGGGCCACATGTTCGGTCCATTGATCTCTTCCAACGTGGCCGCGTTGGTCTGGAGCAGCTGCACGACGAAGTCGTACGCGTCCGAAATGTCCCCCGTCGCGGGGTTGGGTAGGCATGCACGGAGGAGTACTAGGGAGGGTGCGAATTCGTCCAACACGCGCAAGCTGTGCATATGGCTGACAAGGCTGGAATACCGATTCAAGGGATCCGTGCGAAAGACTTGCAGAGAAAAAGGCTCCACAAGTGACCCTGGGTCTCCAAGGGGGAGTGTCGCGCCGCCAGAGTCACTTGATGAAGCAGAGGCATCGCATCCAGTGCAGTCGATGGAAGACAGTCGGGGACAGTAGCGATATAGCCGAGAGTAGCAAGTTTCTTGGTTTTTCACCGGCAGAGCCAGATGCGCGAGGGTGGCAGCCGACCCACGCAGGAGGTCCAGAACCTTGTCGAGCAAAGCAAGGGGGAAAGGCGGGATGAAGGTTACACTTTCGAGTGTGTTGTTGGCCCGTGCGGTGCACATTTCGACATGTTGCAACCATGACTTGGACTTGGACTCTGAGAGTCTCTCCGACTTGATGATCACGGATCGCCACAAAGCCGGAATAGACAACAGCGTCTGACGCCATCTGCGGCAGGTTTGGCCCATCGCGGAAAGGTCGCCATAGTCGAGGTGTTGAGCCACCTGAACCAGAACCTCGTTCGGGAGGACATCGATAGGACTCGTCTTGCCCTGATTGAGCATGCGTCGCTGCTTCTGGATCTTGCGCAGCCACTCTGCTTTGGTGGGCGGATCGAGTCCTTGTGCAAGCTCGCAAGCCTGATCTAGACAGTTCTCTGCTTGTGAGCTGTGTCCAGCGTTGGCTAGCATGACGGCTGTGCGGAGGAACGATCCTGGATCGTGAGGATCGAGCTTGAGAGCCTTCTTTGCGTCGCGAAGCGCGAGCTCGTGCAAGTTCCTGTGTTGATAGGCATGTGAGCGTGCCCACAGGAGGTTCTTTCGGGACTTGATCACCTTCTTATCCATCACATTGGATTTCTCTTCCAGCGCCTTGGTGGACACAACAATGAGCTGGTCATAGTTTTGGTCGCGGAGTGCGACGGCGACGTCCTTCTCCGCTGCTGCGAGGCGAGCCTGAAGGTCATGCACAGCCCGCGTGCTGTCTCCACGGCTGGAGGCGTGCGACAATGCGCGTGATTCTGGCATGCTGGCGGACGACTGTCTGGAGAAGCTGAGCCTGGAGCCGATGGTCGCTCACATGGATGGATGGATGAGCTCGAGTCGATGGCAAGCGATGTTATGGGAGGTTGCGAGGATGGTGCCGCCTTGGAAGGCTACCATTATACATTGGAGCAAGAGCCAGATTGGTTGGATGCGGATCGTGATGAGCCATTTGACACGTTTGCGCACTGTTGCTAGAACCTTAATTCAGGGTCCACTTGGCTGCGCATACATTGAGCCAAAGTTCGGAACGCGGACCAACTATACGACGTGACGCGACGCGAGGCGAGGCGGAGGACAAGACCTGAAATTTACTTTCTAGGCCGAGTCAAGAGAGGTCCGCTCGAAGTCGCCGGAACGGCAGGTTGGGTTGGTCGGTGCTGCAAAAAGAGAGAGTTAGTTTGCCGGTGTGCGGGGGCGAGACTCAGCGGTGAAAAAGATTGCCGACCGACCGAGAAGACTGGCAAACACGCATTCCCACCGGTAATCTCGCCTTGACCGACTCTGTGCGGCTGTTTTGCGGAGGCGGGCCCGTGCCTGTGGTGCATACGACATTCGAAAAATGCCAGAATCTCCTTGCCGGGCGCACATCTCTCTCAGCGGCGAGCGAGATGATCTGGACTCCAAGTGGCGAGCAGGGGCACAAGCGCCGCACATTGCCCTGCCAAACGCATCCGGGCTTCTTCCGAACTGCGGAGCGAGAACAACACATAAGAAGACGGGACCTTTGTCCGGTCCCTTCTCATTTTCCCCCCTTACGGTCATCTCCCTTGCACAAGCCTCGTCTCCCAGTCCGATAAGCAACCATGTCTGCTCAAGTCGCTCCCAACAACTCGCTCGCGACCACGCCTGCCGAGGGCAACGTCTCCTTCGTCCTTCAAGAGATCGAGAAGGTCTCGTTCGAGGACCGCCCCGTCGTCGCCCCCAAGCGCGGCCAGGTGCAGGTCAACATCCGACAGACGGGTCTCTGCGCCTCGGACTGCCACTACCTTCACCACGGCCGCATCGGAGACTTTGTCGTTCGCAAGCCAATGGTCCTCGGCCACGAGTCGAGCGGCATCGTCACCGCCGTCGGTGAGGGTGTCACCACGCACAAGGTCGGCGACCGCGTAGCGCTCGAGCCCGGTGTTCCTTGCGGCGGCTGCCACTCTTGTCTGCAGGGCAGCTACAACCACTGCCCGGACCTCGAGTTCGCCGCCACCCCTCCCTACGACGGTACACTCTGCACCTACTACAATATCATGGCGCCCTTTGCTCACCACGTTCCCGACACAATGTCGCTCGAGGAGGCCTCGCTAATGGAGCCCCTCTCCGTGGCTGTCTACTCGGCCGCCATTCGTGGTCAGGTCAAGGCGATGGAGAACGTGCTCGTCTTCGGCGCCGGCCCCATCGGCCTGCTCAACGCTGCCGTCTGCAAGGCCTACTCGGCCAAGCGCGTCGTCGTCGTCGACGTCGTTGACAGCAAGCTCGAATTCGCAAAGGGCTTCTGCGCCACTTCGACATTCAAGCCCTCGCTGCCCAAGGAGGGCGAGGCCAAGATTGACTCGGCCAATCGCAATGCCCAGGACCTCATCAAGTCGATCGGCGACGATGTCGGTGCTCACGAGGGTTTCGACCTCGTGCTCGAGTGCACCGGCGCCGAGCCCTGCATCCAGATGGGCATCCAGGCGCTGCGTCCCAAGGGCCGCTTTGTCCAGGTCGGCATGGGCAGGTCCGAGGTCGAGTTCCCCATCACCCGTGTGTGCGTCAAGGAGATCGACGTCACCGGCTCTTTCCGCTACGGCGCCGGCGCGTACAAGACCTCGATCAGCCTCGTCAGCACCGGCCTCATCGACGTCACCAAGATGGTCACCCACCGCTTCCTCTTCAAGGACGCCATCAAGGCCTTCGACACCACAACAAAGGGCGTGGGCGAGGACGGCAAGACCGCCATCAAGGTCCAGATCAGCCAGGGCGAGGGCAAGCACTAGGCTTCTGTCCGTCTCTCCGTCTCCCGCTCATCTATGCCCTCGTTCGCCCTGTAATCTTTCGCCATCTCTGGTCATCTCGGTCACCCAGTCACCTCATCTCATCAATTGACGGACTCTTTTCCCTTCCATAGCTGCATGATCTGCTCCACGCCTCAGACACTTCGGTGTCAGCACCGGCGGCGAGCACCAGCGCATAGTTCAGCAAAGGTTGCAATTGCGATGAGAACAGAAAGAGCGTGCATCAAAGCAATCAGGGGGTCGAGGGCGGCAACAGCACGCTGCCATTGATTCCCCATTCCGCGTTTGCATTCGCCGGGGCTCGTAAAACTTGTCGTTCAGACTCGATATCGAGCAGAGGAACGAGCATGTAGATAGCGCATCTTCCCAGCAAAGGCGCCACCACCGTCCAGATATGGTGGAGCCGAGGTCCGATGACCGCCCAGAATCTGTGTAGCCATGGCGAGAGGAATCTTCTCGAGCGGCTGGCCCAGTACGAAGCTGAAGAGTCGCCGAATCAGGACGCCGAATGCGCAGAAAGATCACCGGAAAGCGAGTTGAAGCAGGGAGCAGATAAAGCAAAGGCAAGGGCAAATCTTGAGTGTCTTGTGTCTTGTGGAATCTTGTCAATTGTTCTTGAGGAACGCCGCCGAGGGGCCCTTGCCAATCACTATAGATACACAGACGGTCAACGAAGAATGGAAGTGCAGGGTCAGCGCGATCTGTCTCTCTTCGCTATACTGTTGCCCGATGAAGTTGCTGTCTACTTACGCTTACTGATGCTCAGATGGAACTTTGGCTTGCCAACGAGCGTGCCGGACTTGTCGACTTTCCCTTCCCTGGACCAGAATCCCCATCCGAAGGTGACAAAGAAGAAGTAGTAGAGACGGTTGACGCGGAAGAAGAGGAACGAGACGAGCCAGATGCACAGCTCCATGTACGTGAAGAAGTCGAGCTGGCCGCCGGGAGCACGCTCTTTGATGTAGTGGATCAGGTCCACCCAGAGCCGCATGTCGCGCGGCCTGGGTCGCGTAGACTTGTCCATCAAAAAGAGCATAAGCGTGCGTGCCATAATGCCAATGTGGATGTGCCCGACTGTGCCGACAGCGTTGCGGAACGTCGCGTTGGTGCAGAGAACGGAGCAGTCCTCGATCGGGAAGACCTGCAGGTACATGTTGGGTCGAACGTAGTCTTCTGGGAACAGGTCCTCGGGCAGGAAGTCGATCGAGGGCACCTCGAAGCCGGTAGCAACGACGATGATGTCAGCATCCAGGTGCACCTTTTTACCATCGTCGCCCTTCTTCTGGCCTCGCTTGCGCATGTTGAACTGGATGCCTGTCTCGTCGAGGTCGATCACATCGCCGCGCTGGTAGTCGGCGATGCCGTGGCGGATGTCGTTGAGAGCTGTGGTGTTGACGATGGGGGTGCCGGTGTAGAAGCCCTGGGTCGGGGCCATCTTTTCTTCGAGATCGCGGTAGTGCAGCTTCTTGAGCAGGAACTCGGGAATCACCGAGAGCCACGTCTCGCGTCCAAGCGGCTGCAAGGCGAGGGCGCAGTTGACCACGGTGTTGCGCGGAATGATCCACTTGTCGCTTCGAGCGAGGATGGTGGGGTGGTCTGCGCCCTGGTTGACAGCGAGCTCGAGAGCCTCGATGCCACTCGCACCGCCGCCAACGACGAGTACCTTCTTGCCCTTGCAGTCGAGGCCGTCGAGCTGCGAGGAATGGACGATCTTGCCCTTGAACTTCTCTTCGCCGGGCAGGTCCATCTTCTTTGGCTTACCGCACGTTCCGGTCGTGACGACAACACCATCAAAGACCTCGCTCTCGTTGCCATTGATGACCCATCGAGCATGGCCCTGCTCGTGCGGGTCGGTCGAGGAAGAGTGCCTGGTCACCTTCTCGACCTTGAAGCCGAGACGAGTGCGCTGGTCGAGCTCGTACATCTTCCAGATCTTCTGCGTGTTCTTGAGGATCTCGTCGCGGTGTGGGTATCCCTTGGTCCACTTGACGGCAGGATGGAAGCGGTACATGATGGAGCTGATCTGCAGACCCGAGGTGGAGTTGACGCGCGACCAGATGCCGCCGATCTCGTCGGCCTGGTCGAAGATGGTCACTTCAAATCCATGGCCGATGAGGTGGGAAGCGGTCGAGATACCGGTGATGCCGGCACCGATCACAGCAACATGGCCCAGAGGTTTCTGCTTGACCTGCTGCTGCGGAAGCTTGGGAGCAAAGACGTAGGCGATGACGATCTGGATCCACTGGTAGATGTAGCTGATCAAGGCGCCAAAGCTGAAGTTGCCGACGGTGGTGGCCGCCATGTTGCGTCTCTTGGCTGCTCTAACGAGGACAGCGACTCGAAGGTGGCAGGAGGAGTCTGTTTGGAAGGGAGGGGCGGAGAAAAAGGGAGAAGAAGGATTTGGTGCTAAGAGAAGATGCACGCTGGCGGAGGAGATTGTGAATGCAGAGCTTGACGGGGCCAGTCCCTGGAAATGTCAAAAGCTAAGTCAGGGGCGGCCACACAGACAGCGTCTGCTCCATCTCAGTGCACTTCGGCTCGATCCGATTGAGCGATACGGCGATTCTCACGTTCTTCTGGCCCGTTCTCCAAAAATACTTGGCTCCACCGCTCGTGCGCAGAATACCCCGTCGCTCATGATCTCGATAACGGTTGCTTCACATTGTGCTCGCCTCAGCAAGCTTGGCGAGCTGCACCAGGCTCGATGCATCAGAGCATCGCTGCTGGCTCCCATTGTGGCGCCAGAGCGGCAGACTTCGGAATGCTGCGAACGTCGGTGTTCCCGAAAGTCGAGCATGCCTAAGGCCCAGGTGAGGCTGGGAAAAAGGGACAAAGAGCTGACATGCCTAGGCCATGCCTCCACTCATGTGCACGTTGCTTCAAGATGACCTCAAGGTGCGTGTGCCCGTTTCCGCTTGGCAGCGGCGCGCGGCCCTGAATCGGACAGCCATCGTTTTCAGCTGGTCCGTCGCCGATTCGGGCCATCATTTCGAAAAT